TTAACACTTGGTATTGGCCAGGGTTAAGTTTTTTAAAAATCTCGTGAAAACAAAACGAGGATGCTTATGAAGAAAATTGAGTTTGGTTTTGTAGAACATTTCAAAGATAAACGTTAATTGTAAAATAAAATATTACAAATTTTTTAATATAAAACATTTAAATTATTTTTAAATAGCAATGAATAATTTTATTAAATAATACAAAAATAATCAGAAATTCCGACTAAGAGGTTGAAAATTCAGCAGGAAAATTATGAGATTAAAAGAATTTAAGAAGGAAAGTTTACACATTCTTTACAATAACTTTTATAATATACTGTTTAATTTAAAATATTTTAATAAAAATAATGAAGAATAGTCCTGTTTTAAAGGTACAACATAAACATTTATTATCAGACAAAAGACAAATTTGTTGTTCAAGAAACGAACTATTGCAAATATTGTTTGTAATAAATTAATTCTGACTGTAGTGTATTTACATCGATTGCGTTTCGACACGTAGTTCAGTGGCGTCACAACATACAGTAACGTAAAATTACGCATGTGGAGCTGCTTCATCTCACCAAGTAGCGACATATCGTGGTAAAAAAAACTACGGCTACGGAATCGTTCTGTAATTATCCGCTAGTTATACTAAGTAGATGGTCTCAGTTTAAATCTGTGGTGTTGTTGAAGTACGATTTTTTGAAAACAAAAGTATTAGTATTACCGGTATACATTACATTAGCATTAAAAAACACACACTAATATTTACANACATAAATTCTGATCTATAATTCACAAAATTCCAAAAAAAATAAAAATAAAAAACATCAAATATTGTGAACACTTTACTTAATATAAAATAACTACATTTATAATTATTGCTAAGGGACCTGTATTTCATTGATGTTTTTATAAATAACTAGAAACTATTTTTTGTCAACGAATAAGATACAACGCGGTTTTTAATTAATTAATGGACGTAGGATTAAACCAATAAACAAAGGAAAGTGTGTCTTAATTTGTTTACAGTAGGTACCAACTTACGATAAATACACTGTAGACCTATAATGAAAGTATGAAGTATACACGGTTGACCGAAATCATTTAAAAACGAAAAGATCCTTTGCTCGCCCGTATAAGACAATTTAGGTTTTTGAAGCAGTAAAAAATGAATAAATACTAGTATTATATACGAGTAAATACGGTACAATATTTGTTGAAAATACTCAGAATTAAAAAATGTACTTACCACGCTCCTGTAATTCCACCCATCGTAAATGGAGCGAACGAATGTCTCTGTTACCGCTAAAGCTCGAAATCCGTTAATGTGTACATTACCTACCTAATCTGCAGATTAACTAGGGTGATCCGTTAAAGCTGCGAAAATTATTCCATTTCTCAAATTACCTAGATAATCTGCAGATTATCTAGGTAATTTGAGAAATGGAATAATTTTCGCAGCTTTAACGGATCACCCTAGTTAATCTGCAGATTAGGTAGGTAATGTACACATTAACGGATTTCGAGCTTTAGCGGTAACAGAGACATTCGTTCGCTCCATTTACGATGGGTGGAATTACAGGAGCGTGGTAAGTACATTTTTTAATTCTGAGTATTTTCAACAAATATTGTACCGTATTTACTCGTATATAATACTAGTATTTATTCATTTTTTACTGCTTCAAAAACCTAAATTGTCTTATACGGGCGAGCAAAGGATCTTTTCGTTTTTAAATGATTTCGGTCAACCGTGTATACTTCATACTTTCATTATAGGTCTACAGTGTATTTATCGTAAGTTGGTACCTACTGTAAACAAATTAAGACACACTTTCCTTTGTTTATTGGTTTAATCCTACGTCCATTAATTAATTAAAAACCGCGTTGTATCTTATTCGTTGACAAAAAATAGTTTCTAGTTATTTATAAAAACATCAATGAAATACAGGTCCCTTAGCAATAATTATAAATGTAGTTATTTTATATTAAGTAAAGTGTTCACAATATTTGATGTTTTTTATTTTTATTTTTTTTGGAATTTTGTGAATTATAGATCAGAATTTATGTATGATACCATATATTTTAACATGATAATGTAGGCCTAATACTATGATCTTAGACACTTCAATAACTCTTCGAGCATGTACAATACTCTATACTTACTGAGTGTTTTAGAGGCTAATTGTTGTATAACGTGTTGGTGTTACGGATGTGTTGTTCTTTCTTGTACAAGTTTTATATGCTTATGACAATGAGGAGGGGTGGGATATATTGCACCAACCTGAAATGCATATGAAATATAATTTGAGAATAAAATCATAGTTCCTAACCGAAAATTTGCTGTCAGACCGTCTACCATAATTTTAGATTACAGAGACGTTTTACATAGATACGTAAAGTGTCATTTTTAACAAATATTAGCACATTCTGAATCATTAAAAACACACTTTTTCTGCTCATGCGGGTTATAATGTTTTTGTTTTGTTTTTCATTTATCACGTATTAAAGCAAACGTGGATGTTTGCCTTAATACGTGTGTTTGATAACATTTTATTTGTGATTAAACGAATAGAAAAAAAGTGTTTTGTGTACATTTTTAATCCTGTTTGCATTATTTGTGACGAACAAACAACTCGAGCTTTTAGGGAATGTATTCCTTTCGTGAACTATGTCACTTTATACAAAATGCCCTGTTTTTTTATGAATCGACTTTCCCGAAAAAGATCATTTTCTTGATGGCAACGAGAAGTATGCATATCAGTCATGTGTAGCTTTATTCGTTTTTCTTTGTTGGGAGTGAATACACTGAAAATTATCGTATAATAACAGCGATTAAAATATTCGATAAATAATGTAATTCGGGAAAACAGACTCGTAAAAAATAGCGTATATCATTACTCTTAACGGAATATGGATGACACTTTATTTATCGGCTACCAGAGCGATCGGTAAGGTGTTAGCCATATAACATCAATGGAATTAGTCAGATGAGTAAGAGAAGGGAACGACACTCAAGACCTGTAGTAGGATCTGTGTCAAACTTATGCCCTCACCTGCCTGGGTGGAAAGTGTTACACCATACACACTATATAAGTAATTAATTTTTCACATCTAACAACTCGGGTAGTTTCATTTCTAAATGGTACTTTCTTAATTCTAATAATTTCTTATTATTAAACTCGCTTTTTCTAAGGACATTATTCCCGCGTAGTTTTAAAAATTCTGATAATGTTCTTAAAATGAGTCATGAGCTGGGCCATCACAACCTGTTCAATGCAAATTATATATTAATTTACTCCGACGACTTCCTGAAGGCATCTTTACATTTCCAGGTTATACTGTGAAAAGTATTGTTTCTGGTATTAAATTCAAATTATTTCATTTAAGGACTCGGATATATTTTTTTTTAAACAGAATTTTTGTAAAATTAATAATTTATTATATTTTCAACTTTCTTTCATAATCTTGGGGAACGCCAAGTAAGCTACTAAATTTATAAATTTGAAATTTTAGGATGTAGATGCAGTTACACTTGATCAAGCTCCAGAATTTATTGTGGTAAGTGTTATCTTATAAATATTAATATGAGCGCATCGCAGAGGTAACTATTTCGGGGCACTCAGACAGTCGAAGAACTACAGAAATTTTTCGTCGGCTATTTTTATAAAAATATGTCGGGCCCTATTCTTTTTCACCAGGCGAATCTAAGATGAGTTTGCCTGAATATTGCAGAATATTGTTTAAGGAGATAAATGGAAGAAAGAAAAATAACGAGGTGAAAATTGAGGAAAAATTATTTTTATACATTTTTGTATTGAAATTACTACTAAAAATTAAACGACTTTAAATTATGCATTTTGTAATACGAGCATTAAACCATAACAAATAATGCAAAAACTGTTGATTATGAAATCACTGTCTTCTATACCAGTATATAAAATGGTGAAAAAGTTAATTAATTGAGAAAAATTAACGTATAGGATCTCGTTTTTGATTATATGGTTGCTGCATAATTGATACGAAAAATAGGTTCACTTATTCGCTACTCTGAAAAGAAGTGTTAAAAGTAAATCAGACCTTTACCTACCTCAGAAAACCATAAATATATATGATTTAAACAATAAAACAATTGAAAACATGATTTTTTACAAATCACTTAATTTATATTAAATTTATATTGTGCGCTTTATACGAAATATTAAATTTTGGGTTTTTCGTAGTCGGGACACCAAAGTAATCATGCTCTGTGCAATTGAATATTTTTTATAAAAAGTGATTTACAGCTATTCTAATATTTATATTAAAATTTTATTCAAGAATTTAACGTTTAATAATAGAAAACTAATTTGTTTATTTTTTAATAAATTGAATTGATAATTGAGGAACATCAGATAACATAAATTTTACATTTAAGGAAAAATAGTAATTTAAATATAAGAACTTCTGTTGAAATAATTCAATATAACTTCAAAAATGTATGATTTATAAATTGAAAATTTTATTATCTGTATCTAAAATTTTTATAAAAATACATAAAAATTTCTTATTACTACTTTTTATTTTTGTCTAATCAAATGTGAATATCGAATAGCTCTTACATTCAGACAAAAATTCTTCTTAACTTTTCATATTTTTATCGTCATTAACATGAAGAAAGAAAAGATTAATGCTATAACATTGTAATTATATTTGTTTCTCAAACATCTACTGCAATAAAAAATAAAATCACGCACTTAATTATCATTCAAATGCTGACAATTATAAACGTTCTTGATAATGATATATTTGCAAATACTAAATTTTGAATTATAAATAACTCGACTAATGACAATTTACATTTCAGAAAGAAAAATTACATTAATAAGCACTTTATGTTTAAATTTTGTGTACTGTAAATCCAATAAATTTATTATCTCATTCATGTACACACACATTTTGCGGAAATTTTAGTGATACAGCAAGAAATAATTATATTCTCGTTCAGATTTCACTTCTTTCCAGGAAAACTTTTGACCTCAAAAATATAAATCAACCGAAAAGTAAATATTATTCATAAGGTTTCTGTCACCGATTAGAATTTTGTCTTCAAATTTCCTGGTATCTGTTCCTCCGTCGCTCACAAAGTTACTCAGTTCAGGTGAAAAGTCGATATGGGGTTGGACATATTCACCGCGGTAAAAGAAAGCAAAGAAACGAATTGACCAATATTTTTCTAGATACAACTTCGTTAGAAGATTTGCTACTCCGTCTTTATTGCAAACGGTTTCAAACGTAAAATACTCGTTGTCCAAATTGTTAATATAAGCGTTTACGCACATTGGAAAACTTTCGCCAAGCTTCACCGGAAATCGAAGGGCCGTGACGAAACAATCTTCTTTTACAACTACTTCGCTGCTAAAATATATGCAACCTTTCATCTCTCCGTTTGGATTTCCACGATTTATGTACGAGAACAAGCTACAATAAATCATTCCGCTTCTAGTGTTTGTTTCTCGACTGAAGTAACTGGGATAAAAAGAATAATTAACAGTCTTAAAAGCACGCCAGATATGACTCTTTTCTACTTCGTTTAACAAGTTCATTGTAAAAACACAAGATCGCAATTCGTCTTCATTAATGGCAAGAAATCTGACTTTTCTGATAAATGGCTTCATAACATTTCTTATTACAATCCTTTTCGATTCTTCATTTATTGAATTGAAGTTGTATGCGCCCAATATTCTTTTAACTTCTATGCTCCACTGATACACGGCTCCGAGTAAACGCAATTCACTGACAGATTCATATATCGCTCGAGATAGCAGTCTATCAATTGTTGCAATTTTACAGCACATAAAGTCGACTGTTGTAAATAGTTTTCCTCCGTATTGGTCGAAAGCTACCCAGCAAAAATAAATTATGAACAGATCACCGATCTCACATGCAAAATCGTGAATTGCACAGACAGTATCCAGTTTTATTTTCCGAATGATAAATGATCTGCATTTCTTTCTTAAATCGTCCAACTCGTATCTTAAACTCAGATAATACAGATCGAATGCGTGTGTAATAGAGGTCAATCCGGGATCGTCCGTCTGTACATAACTGTTTAAAAAATATAAATTATAATTTATGATAATGATAATGAAAGGTAAGTATCGTGAAAAACTTACGTAACGAATTGTCTGATGATTTCTATTGGAAAAGGCATAAACAGTACTTTAAAATTTTCAAAATCTGTAATATGATGTTCCAATTGCCTGTTAAGGACTTTATTTAACTCAGCTTCTGATATAATAATTTATTCGTTTTTTTCGTTTTGGATTTGTATCTCACTCGAAGAAATCCTAAACAACAAAAAAGGTATTTATTATTACTTTCGAACAAACATCTCTGTTGTACTGTACGTTACTTGTAGTATTTCAGACAATGGTGTATGAACAATAAATGCATGACTAATATTTTAAAAATAAATATTAAAATTTTTGTATTAGCTTATTATCTTGATTATCGCGAAACCATCAAAATTCAAGTTTTATTTCCTAGGAGATATCGTACATAATTGGTCTTATTTATTGTCATACTAAGATTTTAACTTAACTCTTGATTCTAATTTATTAATTTTATTTCTTGAATAAGCATTCTATACTTAAGAGCTTTTGAAGCTTAAAAATCTTTATTTCTTAATGTAATGATAAAATATTTTGTCTTAAACCAATAAGCATTATAATATTTCTCCATTTATTAGCATTAGCATATTATAACATTTAAATTATTGTTAGATTATATTGTATAAGTAAACATTGGTTTAATAATATAGTAATACATGTACTAATTTATTAGCTATATCAAGTTAAATATCAAAACTCATTTATAATTTTTTAATTATAAAAATAAATCATTTGTATTTTGATAAATAAATAACATTATAAAATTGCATTTAAATATTATAATATAAAAGCTAATTTTAAGATTTATATATATCAAATATAAATTGATTCATACTTAAAGTAAATTTCATATAGGCCTATATAATTTTTAATTAATATTTATAAGTTTTAATAAGTTATTATTAGGCAATTATTTTGTAATTCTCCACGAACAATAATTGTTTTTCTATCTATTCCCGTAATTTTCCATTATTTTGTTATACAAGCTTAAAACTTGAAAATAAGAATTACGTTAATCCATCAAGATCCATTGTAAAAAGTAATTAAACAAGTTCGTTAAAAGGTGTAAGCTGGAGATTTTTTCTCGACCCAAAAACAACTCACGAATGTGTAATTTTACAAAGAATTAACAATTACATCTTACTTTTAATAACAGTAAGACTTTTTTTCATTGACACTTATTTCGTATGTTCCAAATAAACGAACATCGACGCCCCGTAATTAATTAAAAATTAAATTTTGTCACCGTGTGGGTTATTCATTCACACAAAGCACAATTACAGGTTTACATTACAAACTGAAAAAAGAAAAAGCCTATAACTGATAAGTTATTAGTTGATGGGCCACCTAGCGCGTCGAGTCACATTGCTTGTGGCTATTCTATGCCGGGTGGCATCATGTGGTTCCTCGTCGCTTATGAGGGAAAAGAGTGTATAACGTAACATTGTTGAACTTATATATTTATTCTGAATATGATTTCTCCCGCTTTGTAGACCGATAAATAATAAACCGGTTGATTAAGTGAATTTCTATGTAATGTTATTTGGTACTTTCATGTGAAACTTGTAATCATAGAACAAATAACGTTTATAAAGTTCTGATATACCACGTTTTAGATCTATTGTTTTAAAACATTTCGATCTTAATATGAATAATTACAAACAAAATATATTATTAAAAATATTGGCATCAAATTAATTTTAATCAAATCTCTGTACAAAATGTAATTTATTTTCTTTCATTCATTCAACTGCCTTTAACAAATAAATACCGCTTTTACATTTTACAACTCAAAGTCCTACCTACTAGTTGATGAAACAGGGATTCGCGATTTACATGTCGACAAACACTGAATTACCCGAATTAAATCTTGTAGAAAAAAATGAGTATTAATCATTTGTATATTGAAAATTAAACAAAACTTATTAACTCAAACTTTAGACACCGAAAATAATTTCACTAAGAGAAGGGAAATTTTAAGGTACTTAAACCCTTTCACTCCTAAAAGTGAAAGAGTCTATTTTTCGAGTTCAAACATTGTAAACAGACGGTTATTTACACAAGGGAATAAGCTTTTTGTGAAGTTTTGCTTAGTCATTGTCTCCTGTAAACCAATTGAAACTTTAATTAATTTAATACTTTTATTTTAAATATTCTAGAAAATTTATATATAAAAATTCACTAAGAGTATATTCATTTGACGCAAACATATGTGATGAAATAAGTACAAATAACAGACAAAAAATCAACTTATGTTATTTATCACGTTATATTTTAAGCTCTCGAAAGAAACACAGCATCGCTTTCTTTCTTAAGTTTTTTATAAAAGATACACATACGATAGTTAATGGCAAAACACGTAAAATTATTTTGAGCCCACACATATAGAAAAGCTATAAACAGAAAACAATACAACTACTTACCGACTCTGCACCTCTGGAACCGCCATTTTTTCGGCTCGTTTCCGCACTGAACTCTCGAGTATGACGTCGTAGAACACGCGCTTACAAGTAGAAAGAACTCATCATGCTAATTGGCTGCAGATGCCACATAACTTTACGTCACCGCCTGTCTGTAGGAGCATTTAATTTTTTAATTGCATTACTTGTATATTCCGTATATCCAACATTAAAACTGGCTTTATACGTGTATTTACTGTGATCTCACGTATACGTATTTAAAAAATTAGTATATAACTAAGTGGACCATTACGTACTTACGAGTAACAGCATGACATTTAAGTCACTTCACAATCAGTAACACCATTATAATTTACATTGTGGACAATGTGGTAGGTGGTGTGGTCTGGGAGCGTTTGTTTCATGTTGACATAGTTATTTTTTCGAGTCCCGTTGGAGTAAATGTGTGTGTTTTTTACACTATAATTTTTATTTTGTTATATTGTCAAGTAGATAATGTAGGAAATGAATAAACAGCAACGTTGGAAATTATATTATTTCTTTCAAATTTCACAGTTTTACAATATTTATATTAATTAAGAATCTCTTCGCTATGGCATTTGATGTGAAAATTCAAACTGTACTTGTAAGCAAACTTTTGTAAACAATAATCGGAGTGTTATGGTTTTTCTCCCGTATGAATTTGAAGATGCCTTACTAGATTCATCTTTTGTGTAAATCTTAATAGAGTGGAAACACAGAGAATTAAACCACGCTGGTGTTCAAATTTTAATGAATCATCTGCGTGAGAAATACTGGATACTAAGGTGCAGAAAATATATCCGGCTTACCACACTGCGATGCTCTAGGTGTCGAAGATTTGCTGTGTCTCCAGCCCACCCTGAATCTCCGCCGTTGCCTGTAGATCGCATAAGAGATGCCGCACCATTCGAGATTATTGGCGTTGATCTAGCTGGTCCACTGTACTTGAGGGATAAGCAGAAGTGTTGGATTGTCCTGTATACCTGTGCAGTGTACAGGGCTGTGCATCTCGAGTTGTTGACGTCTCTGTCAACGAAGGCGTTCCTGCAAACATTCAGACGATTGTGGCAAGAAGAGGACGCCCTTCTGTCATTTATAGTGATAACGGTACAAATTTTGTTGGTGCCGCTAAAATTTTCTCTGAGGCTGAACTTAAAAAAATTAAAGATGAAATTCTTGTTCAGGACATTACCTGGAAGTCCATTCCTCCAGCTTCGCCATGGTGGGGTGGCTGGTGGGAAAGGTTGGTAGGATGTGTAAAGCAGATTATGAGGAGAATTTTGGGAAGAGCTTCGTTAACTTACGAAGAACTCTACACAATTATCTGTGAGGTAGAGGGTTTGATGAACTTTCGACCACTTACTACTCTCTCGGAAGATACTGAAGATTTAATTCCGTTGACTTCTAATATGTTTCTGCAAGGAGTAAAGGAAACTGGACTTTCCGATTTAGATCACATGGAAAAGGTCAATCTTGGGAATACATTCCGTTATTTATGCAAATTGAGAAAAGATTTACGAAATAGATTTCGAATTGAGTACCTGGCGCAATTGCAAAACCCGAGGGGGTTAGCCAAGGGCACTAAAATGATTGCTGTGGGAGATATCGTCTTGGTTGGGCATGACAACCAAAAACGACTTGATTGGCCTCTGGCGAAAGTTGTCGAGATCTATCCAGGTAAAGATGGATTGGTGAGAGTAGTAAAATTAAAAACACAGGTTGGATTTCTCATCCGTCCTGTTAGGAAATTGTACCCCTTGGAGATTTCTTCGGGGGATGAAAAGCAAGAAGAATTTCGTGACAAGACTGCAGGAAGTGATGTGACAAACTCATCTGAGAAGTATCGAGTCTCGAAAAGGGGCAGACCCCTAAAGACTCCCAATCGGTTAAATTTATAAACTGATTTGAACTCATTCAATTTATACTGTATGTGTTTGTTGGGTTTAAATTTAAGTTTGATTTGATTTTGCCTAACAAAATCAAAGGTGGGAGGATGACCCGTCCATCCCGCTAGATGGCGGGCGGATTTAATAGTTTTTTTATTGTTAATATTTAATGTTTAATATTTTTAGATAGTTGGCAACACCAAGACGGGGGTGTTAAGTTCCAAAAAGGCGCGAGAACATAGAGCGGGACGCTCTTTCCTATCGAATCATTGTATATAGAATGTTTGTTGGTTTTTGTGTAAATAAAATCAAAAAGACAAACTTGGTGAACTTTTTTTGGTTGAAGATACGACGGGAACCTGGAGTACGAGCAAGACGGTCAGGTGAGACTTACGAAATTAATTTACTCATCACCAGAGACAAGAATCGGCCTGACGCGACAAAATATGTACCACAAATAAGTTTGATTCAATGGAAGACTTAAGTAATTGTCTTTTTAGTTTGGCCTGTAAGTGTGGATTTAATATCAGGAGACATGGGAATTTTTTTTCATGGTTCGATTCGGACTGTAGGATGTTAATTAGTGCTAGGAATAGAGTTTGGAGATTTTTTAGGAAGAATAATAATTCTAATGATCATTTGCGTTTTGTTATGTTACGAAGTTCGGCGAAGCGGTTGTGCATTGCGAAAAAAAAATTATTTGCTGGTAAAATTCACAACTGTTTTAGGAAAGATAACAGACTTTTTTGGAACTATTTTCGACACGTTAAGCAGGCCAAGTCTTGTAATTTCAGC